CTTGTGTATGACCAGCAAAGTTGATTTCAAGACCCTCTAGTGGGCCTATGCTCACAGTTCTCCAAGCATTGACCTAGACGAGGGAACACAGAAAGGGATACATGAGTGTCCTGAGAAACCCAAGGAAGTCAGACCCCTCACCATCCTTCCCTTCTCCTGGGTTCCCTGCATAATCACAAAGTTCCTCTTCCTCTCTTCTTTCTTCTCTTCCTTCTATCATTCCCTCCTCTTCCTACATCTCCTTCACCTTCTCTCCTTCTTCTTCCTTCCTCTTCTCTTTCTGTCCTTCTACATCTTCTCCAGTGTCCAAGAGTCACAAGATTTATTTCACAGACCTTCCCAATCATAAGGATCACCAAGGGGGCTGGTTGATGCTACTGATTCCTAGGCTCTTCCTGTGGGAGATTCTGAGCAGCTAAGTCTAAGGTTGGGCCTGGTAACAGAATCCTTATGGTGGATGTACCTCTCTTAGTTTGCTGATGAGTAATCCTCAAGGACAAGTATCTTGTCTCAGGTCACACAGTGGGTGTCCCATTGGGACTGGCTGTTGTTGTCAGGGGCTCCCTCCCTGTGGGCACAGATCATTACCAGGATAGGTCTTCTCCTGGCCCTCATGACAAAGAGTAGGATGGATGCCTTTAGGCTGGAACCCAGACCACCTTAGGATCCCACCTTCCAGTAATGGCCTGACTTCTTGTTGGAGAGTTCAGCCCCATTGTCACACCAGGTCATCCCTAAAACAAGGGGAAGCAGAGAGAATGACTGTCTACCAGTTGCCCAGCCCCCTCTTCCTCTTCCCGTGGTCCTGAGCAAGGTCTGGGGTTTGTGGGGAGGAAGGGGAATGAGTCACCTCCATCTACTCACTGTCACTTGGTCTAGGGAGAGAGGGCAGCTTTGGAGATTTGCACATAGAAGGAGCAACTGCCTCCTTGCCCTGCCTACCAGCATGCCACCCCATGCCCACTTAGGCCCTGCAGAGGTCCTGGGTGTGGAGAGACCTCTGAGGCCCACCAACACAGGAGGAGTCTGAGGCTGCTAGCAGCAGGTTGACTGCAAGGCCCTGCTCTCCCCCTCTCTCTCTCTCTGTTGCTCTCTGTGCTGCTTCTCTGGTGGGGCCTGCGGTTTGGCATTTCCTTCCTTACCTAGTGAGAGCCCCAGCACCCTGCAGTCTGACTGCTATAGATAATGGTTTCAAAAAAAAAAAAAAAGAGCAGGAGGTCTTTCAGGATCCAGAGCAGCACAGTGAGTGGTGAGGGCCTAGCCCAGCTGTGTGGGCTGGGGGAGCCAAAGGCAGGCTCAGCCCATCTCCTTACCTCATGGCAGAAATGTCAGCTTCTCACAAGGCTGATCCTGAGCACCCTATTTTATATTGCAACAGCACACTACTTGTGTACCCTTACCCGCCTCCCCACCACTAAATATCTATATGCAGCAACCCAACCAAACCAATCACTACTATCCAACAAACCATAGAGAAAAACTATCACAGTGTGTGTGTATACATGTCTATATACACACATATGGCTGGGCTGCAAACCACAAGGTCGATGGTTCAAGCCCACCAGCTACTCATGAGAGAAAGATGAGGTTTTCTGCTCCCACAAAGACTGATAGCCTTGGAACCTTATATAGGGTTGCTATGACTAGGAATGGACTTGACAGCACTTAACAATGATATACATATAGAATCCTGGTGTGGCGCTGTAGGATAAGTACTAGACTGGTAACCACAAGGTTGGCATTTTAAACTCAGTGATATACAGGATCTCATAGATAGATAGATAGATAGATAGATAGATAGATAGATAGATAGATAGATAGATAGATAGATAGATAAAGGTAGCTATAGATATAATTTTATTTTCATATACTCATTGGTTTCGAGTTGATTGTGATTCACAGTGGCACTATAGGATGGAGCGGAGCTGCTCTATAAGGTTTCCAAGGTTATAATCTTTACAGAAGCAGACTGCTACATCTTTCTCCCATGGAGCCACTGGGTGAGTTCAAACTGCTGACCTTTCAGTTAGCAGCCAAGCTTTTAACCAATGTGCAAGTAGGGCTCTTTCTATATGCAGTGTTGTTGTTGTTGTTGTTAATTGCCGTCGAGTCAGTTCTGACCCATAGCAACCCTGTATAGGGTTTCCAAGGAGTGGCTGGTGGGTTTGAACCACCGACTTTGTGGTTCAAACTCATGTTACAGTTGAGTGCCTTGTCCTGCAGCACCACACCAGGACTCCTCTCTACACAGTACTCATTTAGAAGTTTACGTCTTTCAGTCTTCAGTGTCTACTGTCTGACTCTCTCCATTGGTGTGAAAGCTCCTCGATCTTAGTTTTGTTCATTGTAGCACCTGGAGAGTGCCTGGCACTTTTTGTTAGCAGTGTAAAGTTGACCTCCAACTCAAAGTGACCCCTTGCACAATGGAACCAAACACTGTCTGGCCCTTCATTATCCCACCATGATTGGCTACAGATCAGGCGGTTGTGACCCATACAGTTTCCATTGGCTCATTTTCAGAAGCAAATCTTGGAAGTAGATCACTAGGCCTTCTTCTTACTCCATCTTCGTCTGAAAGTATCACAGCAACACGCAGATGGGTGGTGGCTGTGCATGAGCTGCATTGGTTGGGAATCAAACCTGGCTCTCTCTCATGGCAGGCAGTATCACTGAACCATCACTGCCCCTGCCTGGCATTTAGGATGTCCTTCACAATACCTGTTAAACAGGATGCAGTTCCACTTAGCACACTTACTGGGCACCCTTGGCCGCTTAGTGGGAGTTCTTCAATCCTGCATGTCAGACGAGGGAGGCGAAATGTTCTACAGCATCTTCTCAAAAATCCAGTTCAAAGGAAACAATGAAACATGTCACCAGCATGGTGTAATGTGTGAGGGTGGGGCCGTCTACTGGGAAATTCCTACCCCTGCTGAAAAGCATCTCCCTTCTGGGAAGTCATTAAAGTCTGAAATCTCAATAATAAAGTTATGACAGAGGATTAAACATTGCCTTCTCTCTTCCTCTGTCTTTTTTAGTCCCTAGTATGTGTATCAAAAGGCATTTGTTTTGCCTATCTCTTTAGGGAAGGTTCCTAGCAGCAAGTTGCTGGGAACCTGGAGAAGGGAAGAGAGAAATGGTGAACACTAAGAAGCACCTTCCTAACTTAGTAATTAGGTTTTGACCAAGCTTGTTATCTCGAGAGGGTCATTTACGCCAGTGGTAGAGAAATGTTTTTCTGCCAAAAATTTATAACATAATTTACAGGCCATACAAAAATTAACTTCTTAAAAATTAGCCTGCTCTATTTGGTTAAATGTTTAATTAACTCACCCCTACACCCTCGGAAACCCTGTACGGGGTCGCTATGGGTCGGAACCGACTCGACGGCACTTAACAACAACAACAACAATGTGATAGTAGCGTAGTGGTTACGAGTCAGGCTGCCGACCTCAAGGTCAGCAGTTCGAAACTACCAGCTGTTCCGCGGGAGAAAGATGAGGCTTTCTGCTCCTGTAAAGATTTACTGCCTCAGAAACCCTGTACAGGGTCACTATGAGTCAGAACCGACTCCACGGTACTTAACAACAACAACAACAATGTGATGGCCCTGGAGCTCTGGTAACGTAGTGGTTACAAGTCGGGCTGCTAACCTCAAGGTCAGCAGTTTGAAACTACCAGCAGTTCCGCAAGAGAAAGATGAAGCTTTCTGCTCCCATAAAGATTTACAGCCTTGGAAACCCTATACAGGGTTGCTATGGGTCGGAACCGACTCCACGGCACATAACAACAACAACAAACGTGATGGCTGAAAATGTTTGCTAATGAGGATCTCTTTAGTCTTAGCAGTGGTTGCTAAGGGAGGCTACAGTGTTCTGGGGGTTGAAAAACCAGAATGGATGCTTAGTCCATGTTGTACTTGAAGTGTAGTACTGCCATGGAAGCCCTCGAGATCCTGGGATTTGGGGATTATACAATCAGTTGCTAATGCATTGAGTCCACTCATAGTGGCCCTGTGTCTATTAAAGTAAACCTGTATTCTAGAGGGTTTTTTCAATGGCTGACTTTTCAGAAGTATATTGCCAGACCTTTCTTTTGAGGAGCATCTGGATGCACTCAAAACCTCCAACCTTGTTTGTAGCAGTTGAGCATGGTCATCTTACCAATATCTAGGAACTTTTTCTCTAAATACATAGATGTGTGCATATGTGTGCCTGCACATGTATGAGTGTGTATTCCAGTACCTAAAGACGAAGGGTACCTTTAAGAGTCCTGGCCAAGGATGGTCTCAGAGGATGGTGGTTCAAGGAGGCTCTGCTTTGCAGACCCTGCCTGTGTCAAAATGCTTCTTCTACAAGAATCTATGCCACTGTGTGGGAAGCACAGATGGGCAACTAAGAGGAGATGACAAGTCAAAGAGCACTGCACTGGGGCTTTTGCCAAGAATTATACAACAAGTAGCTGATTCCTCCAGCTCTAGGAGGTGGTTTGAGGACTCCTAGAAGCAAGACACTACCATAAGAAGGCTCAGCTTGGAGTCAGGGCACCTCAGCCCCAGGAATTCCACAAAGAAATATAGACCTATAGTATCCAAACCATAAGGCTACAGAATTTTGAAGAAGGGTTAACGTCAGTAAGACTTCATGGAGGCTTAAAGGTGGAGCCAGACACAGGTCAGCAATGATCAGCAGGGGAGTTGGCATGAGCAAGGTCTGGCAGGGGCAATGCTGTGACAAGTCCAGGGAAGCAGTAAAGGGAGAGGGCCTGGGGAAGAGGAGGAGGCTGGGCTGACTGGAGACCATAGGAGGAGAGGAGGCTAGTCAAGTTTAGTCCAGGAACAAAGTCACATGCTCATTAGTGCCCTGAGGTCCTATAGATCAGAGAATTTCAGGGCTTAGAGTGCAGGTTGAACTGAACAGGAGCTGGCAGTGAGGACACAATGGTTTTGTGTCACCCAATCTGTGGTGTCTTCTGTGAGCCCATCATGCTCTTCTCTCTTGTAGGATTCTCAGTAAGTTAAGTCAAGATATCAACAAGAATGAAGAGAGGAGGAGCATCTTCACACGCAAGTGAGTAGGCTGTCATGAAACTCAAAAGAATTTTCAAACCCAAATCAAACAGGATTGTTTTTGTCCTGAGTTTTGCCCTCTCAGTTCCAAGGGTCTTTAAACTGGTGCCCAAGGAGAGGACAGGTTCCTATCCTTGCCCTGTGGGACAACAGAGGGACTTCCCATCTAGCATCAGGCAGTCACAAGCTCCCAGATACGCCACCCATGTGGCTTGGGTGGTTTCCAGAATTCTGAGGCTGTCTGGACCCTGTTGCCAAGCAACGAGGACAGAGGTCCTGGGTAGTTAAACATACCCTTCTCTGGGGGCTCCTCTGGCAGGAGTGGATGGAGGAAAGAGGGAGGCCCCTTATATAAATAGATCACTAATGCAATGTTTGTTTGCCTTTGCAGACCCCAAATCCAGAAGTTTCCTGAAGAGACAGGTAAAGGTCTCAGGGTTGAGAGGCGATTGCTTTAGGAGGTGACAGGCACTACTGTTCTTCTGTCTTCTGGTTTCTGGGATCCTGGAGTGGCAGGCAGATGGCCTTACTCAATGCCTGTCAGCCAGTCCTTCTCCAGGAGAGGGCTGGGGCTCAAATGAGGAATTGAGAGATGCCACTCTACTAGGCACCTTTGAAGGATTCTGAGACTTCAAGTGAGAGCATGGGAAGGGACTAGCCATTGAATTAGTTCCTGAGCTAAGCCAGTGCTTTGGAGTCTTTCAAGATGTTTTTGCTGATAAAAAACACATAGTACCAAAATTTAGGTCCTGCACTCCACACAGTCCTGCTGAAGCCAAAGCTCTAGAGAGAGGGCGCCAGGTATCTGCATATTTTGAAGCATCTGTCAGGTGAATTTTGTATACGTGTTCAGTTGAGAACCACTGCCCTCTGGTAGAATTAGCTTCTCAGGTAGACGTTCTAGAGCTGATTTCAAGTTGTTAATGCTCAGGTGTGTAGGAAGCAGGATGAAGGCCAGCAACAAGGCAGTGAGTGGTTGCAGGACTGGCTTTGCCTTTCCTTCTAGTGGCATTTTTGGTACTGATGATGGTGTCTCTTCCCACAGAACTCCATGATGAAGACAATGGGGGCTGGTCATCCTTTGTGAGTATGGCATGCTACCACCCTTTCACCATGGCAGGAGTTGCCAGAGTACCTTTTTAATAAGAAAGAAAGAAAGTGCTCAGAGCAGCAAAAGCTCTAACATGATGCCAGTACACCTACCCAGGGGTTGGCACATTCTTCTTGTAAAATGCCAAATAGAAACCACTCACATTTTCAGCCTTACAAACTATTGAGTCTTTGCTCAGCTGTTCAACTTCTGCTGTTTTAGCACCAAAAACAATGTTCAAGTGAAATGTGTGGCTGTGTGTCAATAAAAGCAGATAGAGGACTAGTCTTAGCCCCTAGACTATAGCTGGCTGACCCATCCATGACCCCTCATACCATCCTAGCAACATGGCCTTCTCCCACCCTGCCTCCAAAAAGGGATGCTCCCCTAGAAATCTACACTAACATCACTTTTCTTGTGGACTGAAATCATCACTGGTACTAAAGAAAAAAGGAATTTCAGAGTGAACTGTTGGTGTTAGGTGTCATCGAGTCAGTTCCAACTCATAGAGAACCTATGTACAACACATCAAAACACTGCCCAATCTGGTGCCATATTCACGATTGTCATGTTTGAGCCCAGTGTTGTAGCCACTGTGTCATTTCATTGAGGTCTTCCTCTATTTCATTGACACTCTACTTTACCACGCATGATGACCTAGGCCAGGTCCCTCCCAATAACATGTCAAAGTACATGAGCTGAAGTCTCCACATTGTTCCTTTCTAACTTGTTCATTCTCTGGCAGTCCAGAATATAGTGCATGTTCTTCACCAGCACTGTAATTCTAAAGCATCAGTTCTTCTTCCTGTCCAGCTTTCACATAGCTAGCAGGTGATTGAAAATACCAATCAGCTTAGGTCAGAGGTACCTTAGTACTCAAGGCAACATCTTTAAGGACCTCAGGGAAGGTGCAAGCCTGTTGATTTTTGTAGTTGAGTGGTCACAGCAACCCAATTTGACTGGTGAATTTTGTGCATCCTTTCCCCAGAAAACCACCTATATGGTCACCACACGTGATGCTTAGACTCAGGCAAACCCAATTGCTGTTGACTTGATTGACTCACGGTAACCTCAGGGTATCATAGGAGAATTATCCTCCACAGGGTTTCCAATGGCTGGTTCTTTTCTTTCGTAATCGTTTTATCAGATGAAGCAACTGAGCCCCCTAGAGAATGTGGCTTAGGTAAAAGCCAAACAGCTAGTTAACCATAAGCCTAGAAATGAGGTCGCTGACCCTCAGCCAAGTGGTCTCCTGATAACTGCTGCCTTTCATTCTGTTATAAAACAGGCACAGAATGCCCCAGGTCTTACTGGTGACCGTCAGCATCTCTGCTGAAAAAGTATCAGCTAAGTCTAGGTTTTCTACATAGAAACAAAGGGATATGACAGATTTGTCATTTGCAACAGCATAAATAGACAAGCGTTCTTGCCAAATTTCTACATTTTCACACAGAAGTTGCATTTTTGCACTGCTTAAACCCCCAAACTGAGGGGTTTCCATGAGCCTAGGAACTTAAGGCTCTGATGATACATTATGTGCCCAGCCCAGCACAGAGGACTATGAAGTAGGAGGAGGAGATAAAGGGCTCATCCTGTGAATGCTCTATAGTATATATTGTTAAGTGCCATCAAGTCAGTTCTGACTCATAGCGACCCTGTATAGGGTTTCTGTACTTAGAGACCTTGCAGTTAGTAGCCTAGTGCTTATATTCCAGGGCCACACCGGGACTCCATTCTATAGACTGGACAACACACATAAGAAAATGATTCAGAGCAAAGAGTGCATAAAAATATCAGAGCCAAGTGATTAGGAGAAAATCATTGTTCTAGAAGGAGAGAGAAAAGGTCCATGATATAGAGAAAGGCTTACGGGGTAAGGCCTGGCCAGGACAAAGGGGGCAGGCTGAGTGAGGGACAAGGCCATTCTAGGAGGTTCAGCAGTGGCTGAGCGGGGCTGCCTCTTAGTGACATCAGTGCTGAGGTGATTGTTCCAAGTTTCCCTAGCGCGGCTGCTAGGCTGGCTGTTTGAACTCACCCAGCAGCTACGTGGGAAAATGACATGGCATTTTGCTTCCATAAAGATCACAGCCTGAAAAGCCTCTTAGAGCTGTTTGACTCTTTTGCATGAGATCACTATTAGTTGAAAATGACTTGACAGAACACAAATTTTGTTTTTGTTTTTTAAAAAAAATTTTATAATGTATTAAGTGAAGGTTTACAGTTTACAGAGCAGATCATCAGTTTTACATCCAACAAACCATACACTGCATTTCATCTCAATGATTACAGTCTCTTCCATGCAAGAAAGGAGCTCTGGTAGCGTAGTGGTTACAAATCGGGCTGTTAAATCAAGGTCAGCAGTTCCAAACTATCAAGTGTTCTGTGGAAGAAAGATGAGGCTTTCTGTTCCCATAAAGATTTATAGCCTCGGAAACCCTGTGTAGGGTCGCTATGAGTCAGAACCGAGTCCATCGTGCATACCCACCACCACCACCACCATCACCACCACCACCACCATTCAACAACAATTATTCCACTCCCTCTTTGTGATTCAACAACTCTTATAGGAATTGCAACAGTGTCTCACTTTGCCTTTCCAAGTTTGGTTTGGTTTTGTTCTGAAGACACCTCAAACACAAACTAAACACAGGACATTTTCAATTTAACAGTTTAAAGAGTCTTTCTTCAGCTGCCTCTGATTCTAGGCTATGATATATATAGAACCCTTCCTCACCAAATTGCAACTTCCAGCTCCTTCTCCAGACCCTACCCTTGGTTGCAAATAAGTGCCCTGGGCTCCTTGACTTGTCCACTAGCTTTGGCATGAAAGTGATGAACCCCTCAATACTCAGAGGCTGGGGCTGCCACCTCTGCTTGGAAAGTCATTACTTTAGTAACCAATTGCCATCAAGTTGATTCGGACTGTAAAAGTGTCTCAGCAGGGGCATCTGGCCTTCTCTCACTTCACAAGGAGGAAGGAGAATCAAGACCCATAGCCTAAGACTGATTCTTATGAGATGGAAGTCAGGCATGCCTCTCCTTTCCAACCTATTCACCAATTCCTACCCACCCACCCCTCCCACGGCACTCCAGTCCTCCACTGGGTTCCATAATTCATGCAACGACCTTATAGAACTCATAGACCACATCAACAGCTATAGTGTTCATTAGGGAAGTTGTTGTCATTATTGTCAAGTGCAATCAAGTCAGTTCTAATTCATAGCAACCCTATAGAGTGTTTCCGATGAGCGACTGGTGGGTTTGAATGGCCAACCTTAGGGTTAGCAGTCCAGTGTTGATCCTGAAGCTCCATGTTGGTGGTGGTGAGCCATGGAGTCAGTTCAGACTCATAGTGACCCTGTACAGGGTTTCTGAGGCTGTAAATCTTTATGGGAGCAGAAAGCCTCATCTTTCTCCCGCAGAACAGCTGGTAGTTTCGAACTGCTGACCTTGCGGTTCGCAGCCCAATTTGTAACGACTACGCTACCAGAGCTCCTTATTGGGGAAGTAACAGGTTACAATTCAGTATCAGGAATGAGTTAGGATACAGTTCTGCAGCCAGGACAGCTTCTTGGTCATGCCCATATGCAGGTCTCTCCCTGACCCTCAGCTTTTCAGTCCTGAACTCCTTGGGCATCTTGAGCTGGCCCAGCCTCCACCCTGCTCAGACACATGTTACAAAGTTCTTTAGTTCCACCAGTAAGTCGTAAAGGCACTGTGCTCCACTGATAAGCCTTGGCCCAAAGGTGATCAGATCTCTGTCCTTAGGAGCTCAGATCTCTTGCCCCACAGATATCAGAGGAGAATTGTTTTCCACAGCATTTTTCACTACTGATTTTTCAGAAATAGATCACCAGCTCTTTCTTCTAAGGTGCTTCTGGATGAATTTGAACCTCCAATCTTCCCGTTAGCAGTTGAATTGTGTTCATTGTACCACCCAAGGACCCCCTCCATGTTTGTAGACTCCTTCAAAGGCCATCACAGAGCAACTAGGGCTTTCTTCCTCAGAAACCCAAGAAGCAAAAGTAAACTAATATTAAAATTTAGAAATCACATCTTTTTCAAGAGCAGAGTTTGAACAATTCAGTGTCAAATGTCATGAATAACAGATGTCGTTTTTCATCCCAGAGGAAAAGAATAGCCCATCCTCTGACCATCTCATCTCAGACAACTTAATATGCCTTCTAATTAGTAGGCTTTGGTTATCTGGTTTCCTCCATTAGCATAGCCTTCATTCTTGCACCGGTTTATAATGAGAAGAACACTCCAGGCACGCTAAGAACAGAGCTGCCAATTAAATGCTCCAGGCATGTAATCTGCCCTTCATAATGTCTGCAGTGAAATATGTGCTGTTCCCCCACTTGCTATGCCACTGTCCTCTTCCTAGTCTCTTCAGCTTCTCTCTGTTGTACCAAAAATGTATAGAGGAAAACACAATTGCCTCAGCTGTTAACCAAAGGGTTGGAAATTTGAGTTCACCCAGAGGTGCTTCAGAAGAAAGGTCTGGTGATTTACTTCTTAAAAGTCAGCCACTGAAAGCCCTCTGGAGCACAGTTCTATTCTGACACACATAGGGTTGTCAGCAGTCAGAATCTACTCAATAGTAGCTGTGTTTTTAATGGTTGGAAGACCTTGATGGAGACTCCAAGTCCGTGACTTGCTAGTGCTGGGATAATGGGCTCTCTGACCTCAGTTTTCCCCATCTGTGAAATGAGAATAGCCAATCTGGCACTGCCTGCCCTCAAGAGGGGGCTGTTGTGAGGCTTGGCTGAGAGAATGGACACCAGCATCTGGAGTATCATGGAATGTCTCTAAACTGCACTGTGTGCTGACAGGAAGAAGATGACTATGAAAGTCCCAATGAGGAACAGGATGGGGAGGATGATGATGATTATGAGTCCCCCAACGAAGAGGGGGAGGCCCCTGTGGAGGATGACGCCGATTATGAGCCACCACCTTCCAACGATGAGGAATCTCTGAAGAACTCCATCCTGCCTGCCAAGCCTTTCCCCAACTCCATGTACATTGGTAAGGACGCACTTCCTGACTTCTGTTTCTGGCAGCCCAGAGCCAAGCTCCCCACTGCTGCAGGGATGGCCCTTGCCTAGACTGCCCCAAGAGGCAGAAAACTTTTGATGCTGATGTCAACTCAGCTTCTTACCAGTTATGTGGCTTTGGGCAAGTGACTTCCCCAATGTCCTCACCTGTGAAATAGGGATAAGACTATATGGAGCACATAGGACTGATGTGATGACTATTAATACAGCAGGTAAGTCGTTGCCTGTGGTTAACAGCATTAAATTGCCGCTGACGGGGATTCACCAGTTGGAGCTTATTCTGTAGGTTACTCAGGTACTCAAAAGTACTACTCTGAGCACAAGGTCTGTGTGTTTGGCCAACACTCTCCTTGGTTTAGCATTTAGCATTCATTTTAATATCCTTGCATTTCTACAGACCGTCCTGCCACTGGAAAGTGCTCCCAGCAGCCTCCTGTGCCCCCGCAGAGACCAATGACTGGCCCCCCGCCCCCACTGGCTAGCAGGAACCACTCGGTAGGCCTGTCTTCTACGGTACTTTGGGTTCACTCCCGTCATTTCCTCTGCTAGCAAGAGAGGGGTAGGGGAGAAGAGCACGCAGCTACTAACTTCTTTATCTAATTCTAATTCTGTAAGAAAATGCTATATAGAGGCTGGGGAAATGCATGCACAGGTACAGTACTTTGGGAGGGGTGGGAGTGAATTATTCATGTTGTAATGCTTTTATTTTAATCATAAACAATATAAACTCCTACATGAGCAAGTCTCTTTGTTAGTGGAAATAAGCGAAATTGTAAAATAGACTCTAAGGAAATCATACTAAATAACTGGCACAAACAGGTATGGCCAGGCACTAAACCTTCCTCTCTTCTGAGAAGATTTCCGCCACCTGCTGGTCAGTGACTGAAATGCCAGGCCCAAATGCCTTTATACCATAAGGGTGAAGAAAAAAAGTTAGCAAATTTGCATCCCTCTTTTCTGCAAACGTGCAGTCCTGGTCTTGTGAGTCTGATTAATCCTTAGAGAGATACCAGAATCTCGGGTTAAGGAATCAGCTCTTGGGAATGTGTTCTCTTTACAAGTGAGCTGATCATTAACGCAGTGTTGAAGTGTTAGACTGCTAACCGAAATGTCTGAGGTTTGAACCCACCAGCAGCTGCTCTGAGAAGGAAGATGTAGTCTGCTTTCATAAAGATTTACAGTCCTACTCTGTCCTGTAGGTTTTGATGAGTCAGAATCAATTTGATAGCACTGGATTGTTAATGCAGAGGTATCTGGGCTAGAGGGAAGGATGGGAAATATTTTCACCAATGATCAAAATGCAAGTCACATTGTTTGGGGTTCTCACTTGAGGATAGATGTTTCCCTCCTGCTTTTCAGTCCAATTGCACTGGAAGCTGTTCTAGCTGAATTTATCTACAAATGCATTTTGCTATTGAAATCTGACCACATATACCGGGGTGCTTTGGAAGAAAGGTCTGGTGATCTATTTCCAAAACATTCAGCCATTGGCAACCCTATGGAGCACAGTTCGACTCTGATGCCCTTAGGGTCATCATGAGTCAAAATTGCCTTGACAACAGCTAGGTGTTTATGAGCGAAACAGGGGGATGGAGCAATGGAATGTGAACAGAACCAGAGGTATTCAGGGAGATAAAGCCACCAGGACTTGCTGATATTCTGAAAATTCTCCCAAATATTTGGATTTTTTTCTAAACAGCCACAACCACCACCCCAGCCCAACCATGAAGAGCCTAATAGAAGTAGAAACCCTAAAACACCAAAGAGTAAGTATGAGAGCTGTTGCCTCTTGCCCACCCACCACCCACCCTGCCACCGACAGCAAAATGATTGTTTCTTTTCCATTGACCTCCTTATTCCATTCCAGTCCCTGCTCCTTCCATAGACAGAAGCAATAAACCGCCCCTGGATCGTTCATTAGCTCCATTTGACAGAGAGCCCTTCACACCAGGTTGGTATAATTCATTCTGCCTTCCTAGTTGCAAAATGGTGTTGTTGTTAAGTGTTGTGGAGTTGATTCTAGCTCACAGTGACTCTGTGTAAGTTTTCTGAGGAGCAGCTGGTGGATTTTTGAACTTCCAATCTATGGTTCGAGTCAGACAAGATGGTGGATCAGGTAGACGTGCAGCGAGGAGCTCCATCAACACAGAATACCAGACCAAGCAGGCTTAGGGGATGGTGCTAGAACTCTAAACCACATATAAAGGAATATTTAGAAGCTTGGAAGGCATACAGTTAGGGGAATTTGTAGTAGAATCAAGAAATCCATTGCTTTCTAATTAAAGATGCTCAGCTACTCCCTGAGCCGCTATCTTGGGAGAGACCAAGTGGGGGAAGGATCAGAACAGCCATGAATACCTGACAGAACTGCCAAGATACAAGATACAGGTGTAGACATTCTTTCTTTCTTTCTTTCTTTTTTTTTTTTTGGTATCTGTTCATTGGTCTCTAGCTGTCTGCACACCTCCATTCTGGTGACTAGAGGGGATGCCTGAGTAAATGGACACCCCACCCCCATCCCTGGAGGGTTCTATTACGCACATGCACAGATCTCCTTGAAATTTAAAGTGACAGTTTCCACTTAAAACCAAATGGCCACCACTCATCTGTCAGTTTGTTTTACTATGGTGGCTTGTGAGTTGCTGTGATTCTGAAAGCTATGCCACTGGTATTTTAAATACCAACAGGGTCACCCATGGTAGACAGGTTTCAGATGAGCTTCCAGACAAAGACAGACTAGGAAGAAAGAGTGATGGAATATTTCCGAATATTTAGTCACTGAAAACCTTATGAATAGCAGAGAAACACTGTCAGATGTAGTGCTGAAAAATGAGCCCCTCAGGTTGGAAGACACTGAAAATGCAACTGGGGAAGAGATGCCTCCTCAAAGTAGAGCTGACCATGATGACACGAATGGAGTAAAGCCCATGGGAGAAAAGCCTGCAGGACCTTCATTTGCTGATGGGGCACAACTCAAAATGAAGAGAAACAGCTGAAATGGACTGGTATTGGCCATTTTGAATCTGACAACCACATAGTTTACGATGCCAGGAATGACAAATTGAAGAGGAAGGTGTTGCATTCATCGTCAAAAAGAACATATCCAGATCAGCCATGAGGTACAATGCTGTAAGTGATAGGATAATATCCATGTGCCTACAGGGAAGCCCAGTTAATATCACTATTATTCAAATTTATGCACCAACCACTAAAGCCAGTGAGGATGAAATAGAAGAATTCTACCAACTTCTTCAACCTGAAATTGATCAAACATGAAATCAAGATGTATTGATCATTACTGATGACTGAAATGCAAAGGTTGGGAGCAAAGAGGAAGGATCAGTAGTTGGAAAATATGGACTTGGTGATAGAAATGATGCTGGAGAACGCATGATAGAATTCTGCAAAACCAATGATTTGTTCATTTCAAATGCCTTCTTTAGACAGCATAAGAGACGACTATACACATGGACCTCACCAGATGGAACACATAGAAATCAAATTGACTACATCTGTGGAAAGAGACGATGGAAAAGCTCCATTATCATCAGGGAAAACAAGGCCAAGGGCAGACTGTGGACTAGACCAGTGCTGTGTCCTGGTGTGTCCCTATAGGACAGAGTGGCATTGCCCCTGGTGGTGTGAAGGGTTAAGCACCGGGCTACTAATTGCAAGATAGTTGATTCAAACCCACAAGCCAGAGGAAGTTTAGGTTGTCTGTTTCCATAAAGATTTACAGTCTCGGAACCTCTAAGGAATGGTTCTGCTCTGTTCTATAAGGTCACTGTGAGTTGGAATGGCTTCAACAGCCCTTTATGGGAAGCAGACTGCTGTATCTTTTTTCCTGCAGAAAGACTGGTGGGTTCGAATCGCTGACCTTTCAGTTAGCAGCTGAATGCTTAACCTCTGAACTACCAAGTCTCCTTAACCCTACAGATGTTGTTGTTAAATGTCGTCAAGTGGGTTCTCACTCATAGCTACCCTGTTTAGGGTTTCTGAGGAAGAGCTGGTAGATTTGAACTGTTGACCTTGCAATTCAAACCAACCTTGTGGTCCAGTGCATTATCCTTCAGTGCCACACCAGGACTCCTATGTTGTTGTTGTTTTTAAGTGCCATTAAGTCAATTCCAACCCATAGCGACCCTGTATAGAGTTTCCAAGGAGCAGCTGGTGAGCTTGAACCACTGACGTTTGCAGTTCAAACAACTTTGCAGTCTGACGCATTAGCCCACAGCACCACACCAGGACTCCTAGGTGTAAAGGAGGTATATTATTATCCCATTTGGTAAATAATGAGGTATATTATTATCCCATTTGGTAAATAATATAATTGAGGATAAAGAAGCTTGATTCACTGACCCATCTTTTACACAGTGAGTTCAGAGCCTGGACTTGAAGCCATGTCTTTCGGACCTCAAAGTGGGTACTCTCTTTCATTTCATGCTACAGCTGGCAAACCCTGGTTTCCACTTGCTGTCAACTAGGGAGGTTTGGGGGAGATAGTTCCCACCCAGAAATAGAGTCCCAACCAGCCCCCTTCTTAGCCACATATTGAGCAATGTTTACCCATCTGTGGCCTCAGTCTCCTCGTCCATCTGTAACATGACTCTCAGGTCTTAGATTTGAGGCTACAGTTACCCCACTACCTCCCAGCTCTGCTGAGTCACAAAAACCTCAGCTGGGTTTTCAGTTTCAACTTGTTCTCTGAAGAGAGCTGCACGAATTGTGTGGAAGTGCATGAGCCAAAAAGCATCAGAAAAACGAAATACTGATTTCAAAATGTTCAGATTCACCGCTGAACACTTAGATCTTCATCCCTATCCCATCCCCATCCCCCTCCTCTTCTTTCCCTTCCAACTTTTTAAAGGCATGCTTTCCTGAAAATGCCAGCTCTCTCCTTGAATTATTTCTTTCTCCATGTTGTTTTGGAAATATTAACTTCTTATAATGCTTAACCTCTAAGTATGAGACTCCTAACATTACTAAAGAACAACCATAAATCAGTAAATATTTTTAAAGCAATCCTATTCTGATCAAAGGACATTATTGATCTTAGTTTGGGGAGCTACTCCTGTAAAATAAGGATTCCACCCCAAAATTAGTAAATGTCTTTTATACCTTCTAAACTCCTCTATAAGACAATGAGTTCTTCACAGTGGGACAATATTCTTTGCACTTATCAAGAGCCTGGAGTCCTGGTGTGGCACTATAGGATAAGCACTGGACCTCAAGGTGGGTTTGAACAGAAAGATAGGCAGTTCAAACCCACCAGCAGTTCCTTGGAAATCCTATACAGAATCACTATGAGTCCGAACAGACTTGATGACACTACACAACAGCTTCATGAGCCTGACATACACTCACTCCTGAAAGACCAAATCGTTGTAAGAATGCAAATCCAGGCCCAGCCTATCACCACTCAGGATGTTAATGGTGCCTAGGCATGGGAGGAAATGGGGATAGGAAGGACAAGAAGAAAAGGTGCTAACTAAAAGTTGCTCAGCAACCACCCTCATGTGCCTAACAGTAAAATTACACAGGCTTAACCCAGAATCCCCATTTTACAGATTAGGAAACTGAGACTCAATAACTTTAAATAACTTGCTTAAGGTCATAAAGGATTTGTTTCTAAACTTAGTTGAGTCCAGTTAGTGATACTTTCATCACTTTGAAGATAAAGATCATGTTGACTCTAGGGGACTTTAGACAGAAGAAAAATTCAATCATTTTGAATCATTTTGCAATGCAGAGTTCTCAGAGTCACCTGGCATTTGTCAGGAAATCAGCTTATTATTTGTTCCAGGAGAAAAATAAAATAAACCACGAACAAAAACCATCACCACCTCCACCAAGAACAGCCAAAAATAACTTTGCAGCACACTAGGAGAATCTCTAGAGCTCTTGGATGGGGAAAATGGTTAATGCACTCAGATGCTAACAGAAAGGTTGGAGGTCGGGTCCAACCACAGGTGCCTTGGAGGAATTTCTGGAAATTCAGCCATTAGGAAGCTTAGTGAACACAGTTATTCATTGACACCCACAGGGTCACCATGAGTCAGGTTCAATGGCAACTAGGAGGAAAATTTCCTGAAATCCTCTGTCCCAAGTTAAAAGCTTTTGCAGAAATATTTGCAAAGAGACTAACTGGATGACTTTATTTAATATCACGTTTACCACAGGATTGGAGGAAAATTGACTCCTGTGGCAAACTGGGTTTGTTTCAGATATATAAATAAACTCAGGCAGTACAAAGAACACTATGTAGCCAATAAAAGAGATGTAAAATCCCAGAAGACTTAAAGCCGTTTTATCATCCATTATATAAAATAAATTATTGCAAAGAGGCACAGAGCCCACAATACCTCCTCTTGTATGCACATCAAGCTGTGTGACCTCAGGAAAGCCACTTGGTTTCTCTGAGCCTGGAAAGTTAGGTGCTCGGTGAGGGAACCTTGCAAGTTGAAAGTCATGATTCTTCAATGCTTAAACCCAATCAGAAACTCATGATCAAATGTTTTTAACCCTCATGTTTATTAAGTCCTGATTTCAAGATCCATCTGTTGTTTGTTATTTACAGGAAAGAAACCAGCATTTTCTGATAAGGTAAGCTGTTTTTCGGTTTTATTGCATTCTGTTGTATGTTTATCTTTGGTATGTTGTCCTTATTCTTTGAAAAGTGCTGGGGAAACTCACACGTCTTCCTTGCTGTTTTACAGCCCTCAGTTCCAGCAGGCAGGTAAGATGTTCCCTTGCATCAGCATGAAAATACATAGCACATACCTGCTGTAGAATTCTGTGTGTTTCACACAGTCTTTCTCTGAACTACGCAGGCCTCTCGGGGAGAATTTACCCAAGATACAAAAGCCTCCTTTACCACCAGCTACTGAACGTCATGAAAGAAACCCTCCTCCAGGGAAGAAGCCACCTGTGCCAAAGTAACTATCTGTGTTGCTTGAACTTGTCATTCAGAAGAATGAATGCCAGGGACAACCTGCCTGGTTGCACTGCATGGAGACAGAGAATAATGGGCACTGTCCAGTGGGAGGGGACTTCTTTAACTGCTATGGTTGTGAAATATGCAAGCTCTTAGGTCTCTTTGGAAAGAAAGGGAATCTAACAAAGTAATGACTAGAGAATTAATTAATCCAAAGTATAGGACTCACTGTGGTCTGTAGATAACTTATCCTCAGATAGGCAAATATTTGGTTGAGTTTTCCTTCTTGTTACATGCATAGGAAGTGCACCTACCTTATTTTTCATACAGGTAGCAGAAATGAAATTACTTGAGGCAGAGGGGGTGATTTAAGGTCACCATAAATGGCTTCCTTAGTTTTCAACCACATTTTCTCATTGCAGAATACTGAGGTCTGGTTGACTATGTTGAACTTTTCTGTAAAGTTATCTGGGCCCTGTTTTATCAAATGGCAGAAATGTGTCTGGGGTTAGATCTAGCCCCAAGACTTATTAGCATAATATTAGCAAGACTTTCATTAATTTCACCTGTGAAATGTGTATTCCTGTCAAGTACCACTGTTTGGTCTAGAAGGATTCAATCAGGACCAGAGCTGATAATTGTTAGTTGCCTTCAGTTTTGTTCTGATTCAAGGCAAACCTTATGCACTACAGAGCAAATCGTTGCCCCGTTCTGCACTGTCTTCATGATCTTTGTCATGTTGGAGCCTATAGGTGGGGCTCTCATATGAATCCATCTTAATGTAGGTTTCCTCCATCTGTGCTGACCCTCCACCATCTCAAGCATGGTATCCTTCTTTAGCCATTGGTCTGTCTTGATGACCTATCAAGCCAAAATCTAACCATCCTTGCTTCTAAAAGGCATTCTGGGATCATGGCAAGGGTGTGCCAATATTTCAAAAGACATAAAAATGAATGTTAGAAAAAATTCATAGTGAACAAAGAACCCATGGATTCAATAAAGATAGGATGAGATAGTAGTGTGAAGCATTTGACATGTAGTCGGTGTTCAACTGCTGCACAAGACCTTTTTAAAGTGTTGAAGAACAAAGATGTCCACTTGAGGACTAAGGTATGCCTGACCCCAGCCATGGTATTTTCAATAACCTCATATGCATGCAAAAGCTGGACAGTAAATAAGGAAGACCATAGAAGAATTGATGCTTTTGAGTTATGGTGTTGGAGGAGAATATTTAAAGTGCCATGGACTGCCAAAAGAATCAACAGATCTATGTTGGAAGAAGTGCAGCCAGAGTGTTCCTTGGAGGCCAGGATGGCCAAACTTCATCTCTCCTGACATATTATCAGGAGAGAACATCATGTTTGGTATGGTGGAGGGTCAGAGAAACAGAGGAAGACCCCAGCAAGATGGATTGGCAAAGTGGCAGCATCAATGTGCTCAAACATGACAACAGTTGTGAGGTTGGCCCAAGATCGAGCAGTGTTTCGTTCTGTTGTGCATAAGGTCGCTAAGAGTCGGTACTGACTTGATAGCAACTCACAACAACAATAAAGTTGTTCAACAAAGCCCCCTCCTCTTTACCCCCTCTCCTTGAGAGCATGGTGGTAGGGTCAGCCATCACAGAAGCCAGTTCCACTTAAGGCAGATGTCATCAAATCTGTATGACTAGCCTGCTCATCTGGGCTAATGGCACTTAGCCCCTTTTGGGAAAGTCCCAAAACAGCAACATTTTCCAACTGTTTTCTCTTCACATGGAGCGTGTAAACCCTGAGATAATCATTTTAAAATGTCAGCAAAGGAGAATATTGCCTAAAATGTTTTAATTTGTTTTGAGAAACATCTACTCAGTGAAATTTAATAGCTACTAAAGAGTTAGTTTGCTGACTAAACAATTTTATTTCATATATATATATATATATATACACACACACACACATATAATTATTTGCTACAGTACCTAAACAGAATAAAGGTTTGCCTAGCTCAGCTCACAACGATGACAGAACACTGAGTAACCAAATCTTCCCTTCCCTCCCTCCCCACTGCCTTCTGCCACAGTTTTTGATTCCAACCTACCACCGCTCATTATTAAATTGAATGAATGTGGCTTGATTTCTCATTATTAAATTGAATGAAGGTATCTATAGTTTAAGGATGGCTCTCACAAGCCCCTTACTGACTATTCTTTTGTTTTGCCCTGATTCATTTCAGACATGCATGGGGACCAGAGAAAAGAGACAATGTAAGTACAAGCAATATTGTAAATACTGTGTATAGGGAAAGGCAATATAGCCTCTGTGGAGTTTGAGTTTGGAACTATGTCTTTCTTGGCCTTTATTGAATTCCAGGTGTGCACAAGGTATGACTGTGAATACTTGGCACCCCATTTTTCTGTCATGCCCATCAGACTGTAGTGCTTAGTTTCTGTCTCTTAGAGAGTTCCCAAGGTGACTGGATTAATTGCAACTGCAGCCCCATTTTAAAACAACAACAACAAAAACCAGGCCATCAAGTTGGCTCAGACTCATGGTGATCCCATGTGTGTGAGAGTTAACCAGTGTTCCATAGGATTTTCAATGGCTGAATTTTTGGAGCTAGATTGGCAGGTGTTTCTTCTGAGGCACTTTTGAGTGGACTCGAATCTCCAACCTTTCTGTTAGTAGCCAAGCATGGTAGTCATTTGTACCACTCAGGGACTCCTGCAGCCCCATTCTACTGCCATTGACTCAATTCCAACTCATAGCAACCCTATAGGACCTAGTAACTAATCCATACTGTTTCTGAGGCTATACAATTTTATGGAAGCAGACTGCCTCATGTTTCTCCAGCAGAGTGGCTGGTGGATTTGAACCACCAACCTTTCAGTTAGCAGTCCAACCTTTAACCCATTGTATCACTAGGGCTCCTTGAGCTTCATTGTTGTCATTGTTGTTATGTGTCTTTGAGTCAGTTCTAACTCATAGCACAGCACTGGGGCTGTAGTGGTTGGATACCATCAAGTCAGTTCCAGCTCATAGAAACCCTGTCTAGGGTTTCGGAGGCTGTAAATCTTTATGGGAACAGAAAGTTTCATCTTTCTCCTGTGGAATGACTGGTAGATTCGAACTACTGACCTTGCAGTAGCATTCCAACTAGGAATCCACTACGCCACCAGAGCTTCTTACAGCCTCACTACCAGGTGGTAAATAGCACAGTGAAGGGAATAACATAGAAGGGAGGGAAAAGTAATGGGTTGAGCCTCTCAAGTCAATATTTCCAAGGTTTCTAATTTCTCATTAATCTCCTCGACATGAACCTGAGAGAAAATAGGGTTTATTGAGTGCCTACAATGTGCAAGTTGCCATGCTAGGTACTTTAGGGGAATCAACTCTTTCCACTTTGCCTGGGACTTTTATGGTGTTAGTACTGCATGTTCCAAGATTTGGGAGCCTCCTTCCTCTGCCCCAGGCAAACCAGGAGGGTTGGTCACCATAGCTCAATAGTGCTTTGCATTTTATAATCCTTTGGGGAATCATTCTCTTTTACTGAGAGGATGCTGAGGCTCAAAGCACGCTACAAACTACACTGCTAGTAAGTAGCCAGGGTCTGAATCCAGGCTTACCTGATTTCTTACACACAAAGTGCTCTGAGGAATCCCTGGATGGTGCCAATGGTCACCACACTTTTATGCTAACTGAAAAATGGGCAATTCAAATCCATCCTGATGTGCCTTGGAAAAATCAGTTTGCCAAAAATCAGCCAATTACAATATACAACAAGAGGGAGGTTGAAACTCTTCTGCTAAATGAAAAATGGGCAATTCAAATCCATCCTGATGTGCCTTGGAAAAATCAGTTTGCCAAAAATCAGCCAATCACAATATACAACAAGACGGAGGTTGAAAGAAGAAGGGTGAAGGCAAGAGAAGGCACAAGGAGGAGTGTTAGAGTTAAAGGGAATCAAAGCAAATACTGTTGTATACATACCCCGCAATAACGGTGATCTACAGCTAGGTACATGGATGGATGCACAGGCTGAATGGTTATGGGAAGGAGAGGGGAGTACACCCACATACACAAAAACGTTTGCAAATGGACATTTACCTTTGCTGCAAACATATTTATGAGTGTGATGGAGCACACAGAGGATGAAATTATGAAAACTTCTTTAACATGACCAAACACCTTGAGGGGATAAGTGGCTGGGCCTGGGGGCTCAGGACCATAGTCTTGGGGACACTGTGGCCAATTGTCATAATGTAGTCCCAAAACACAGTATTCTACATCCAACTTTTGTGAGTAGCAACTGGGTTCTTAAAAGCTCATGAGCAGCTATCTAAGATGCAACTATTTGTCTCTCTCTGTTGAGAAGAAAGAAGAGTAATGAAAATTGAAGGCATTTGGAATCAGTCCAATGGACTAATGGAACACGTGACCATAGTCCCCTGAGACCAGAAGAACTAGATGGTGCCTGGCTACCACTACTAACTGTTCCGAAAAGACCACATTAGAAATTTTTCAATAGAGTGGGAAAAATGTGGACCAAATTTTTTAAAAAAGGCTTACTGGTCAGAAAAGACTGAGACTATGGTCCTTGGTCACCCTTCAGGTTTGGAAATAAACTCAGTCTTGTGGCCCAATTTTCAACCAAGCAGTAGATAGGTATCTACCACTAATGAGGTATGCTCACCATCAGGAAATGATTAATCATTCAAGAACAAAAGAGCAGCATTTACCTAAGGACAAAATGTTAAAAGGATGGAAATAAAAGGAGGAATGGAAATAAGAATCACAGGGAGGAAGTGTGATAATGATGTTGCAGTCAGTGAAACACAATTTGTTAAATGTAAAACTGATGGTCTGTTCTGTAAGCTTTCACTCAATTCACAATGAAAAGTTGAAAAACATCAGCCAGTGAAAACTCGATAGAGCACAGCTCTACTCTCACACGCATGGTTGCCATTGGCTCGATGACAACTGGCTACTAGTGAGGTATGCTCCCCAAAGACCATCCAAACCTTTTCAAGTGCTCAGTCCACCAGTGCCTACTGTGGCATTCACTCTGTTTTACATGATGAAATGCTGAGATCTGATGTAGACAGGCAAACCCACATCAAACATGCAAAGCTGCATGCAGTCTCAGAATGATTGGTGGAGGCTAAGAGGCTGTTACTATGGGTCAAGGATCCCAGGGTGACTTCTTAAAGGAAGTTAAGATTTGAGATGGTCATTTGAATGATAAGGAGGCTACAGAGAAAGCCCAGGTATCCTGGTGTGGTGCTGTAGAATAAGCACTGGACTGCTAACCACAGGTTGGCAGTTCTAACACACCAGCTGCTCTGTAGAAACCCTATACAGGGTTGGATGAGTCATAACCAATTGGATAGCACTTATCAATATGTTTAAAAATGACACTTAAAATGACAAATAGCACTTAAAAATGACAGTCATTTTGTCTCTCTGAAGCTCACTCCTTGTTGTGAGTTGTCATTAAGTCTATTCTTAGTCATGGTAATGTCATGTGTGTCATGACAGAATGGAACTGCTCTCCACAGGGTTTTCAAAACTGTGACCTTTTATCTGAGGTGCTTCTGGGTGGGTTTGAACCACCAACCTTTCAGTTTTAGTCAAACTCTTAACTGTTTGTTCACTAAACCGTATTCCTTATCTGAAAACAAGGGACAAGGACACCTGCCCTGTCTGTAAATGTTTCAGTGAAGATAAGTGAGCTCAAGAATGTGGACACACCATAAAGAGATAAAATTATATGGCTTTTCAGAGGAATAGCCATTGTGAATCAGAAACATAAAGCAGACTGAGATTCGTGTGTGAAGTGGATATGAAATCCTCGATGGTTTGTTGGGAGAAATGGATGAAATATTGTTATGACTCTTTCAGGCACAGAGTATGTATTATATATTATTATATCTTTGGGGACTTTGGTTGCTGTTGTTAACTGCCATGGTGACCCTATATACACAACAGAACGAAATGCTGCCAGATCCTGACTATCCCCATGATTGGTCGTAATCCATAGGGTTTCCATTGGCTGATTTTCAGAAGTACATTGCCAGGACTTTCTTCTTAGTTTGCCTTAGTCTGGAAGCTCCATTGAAACTGATTCAGTGTCATAGTAACATGCAAGCCTCCACTGCAAGGTCAGTTTGAACTGCAAGGTCGGCAGTTCAAACCCACCAGTTACTCCTTGGAAACTCTAGGCAGGGTCCTACTTTTTGTAACTGACTTGAAGACACTTAAAAGCATCTGTTCTATACAGCCCTGGCATGGCGATGTAGGATAAGTACTGGACTGATAACCCAAAAGTCAACAGTTCAAACCCACCAACCGCTCTTGGAAACCCTACAAGGGTCACTATGAGTCAGAATGGACTTGATGGCACTTAACAACAATGACTACTCTCTATAATATATTTATCATGTAAAAGCATTTGCTAAAGAAAAAAAATAGAAACTTTCATCATTGAAGAATGCAGTTCTTTTGGAATTATGTTTTGATGACAGTTTAATTCTCTCTCTCTTTCTCTCTCTCTTACCAGGACGAAGATGATGGTATGTTCAAAAAGTCTTCTTACAATATATAAATCATTTGCTAATTTTTCAGTCCAGGCATTCAGTTGAAATTATTTAGAACCTCATAGAATCAATTATAATAGTTAAGTTAATATCAAGTAGGCACATATCAGGGGAGTGTGGTGGCTCTGTAGATTATGTATTGGACTGTGAACCACAAGGTCGGTGGTTGGAGCCTACCCGTTGCTCTGAGGGAGAAAAATGAGGCTTTCTGCTCCCATGAAGATTTTTGTAAAGCTTCAGAAACCCTATACAGGGTTGCTATGAGTTGTAACAGACTTGACGTCACTTAACAACAATAACAAGACAAATATCATGTCATTTGGTCTGGAAGGTGGAAGTTATAGGTATTTGGGGCTTATGAACTATATTGCACGGTATAGGTTTTACATTATACTGTGGAGCCCTGGTGGTACTGTAGGATAAACACTAGACTGCTAACCACAAGGTCGGCAGTTTGAGCCCACCAACTGATCCTTGGAAGAAAGATGAGGTTTTTTTGCTTCTATAAAGACTTACAGCCTTGGAAACCCCATATAGGGTTTCTATGATTTGTAATCTACTCAACTGCACATAACAACAACAAAAACAACACCAGACACCTTTCAGTTGGTATACTTAATAACTACAGTAAAATGGAATAGTTCTGTTGGGTCGGTCACCAAAGACAGCTATTTACTTCATCTGTAAAAACATAAATTATTTCATTGTACTACCAAATTTTAAATGCATGTATAGCTTGATAGAAAACTTCTAATATGTATAGCCTCTAATGTGTGATATTAGAAAAACCATGAACTGCAGATCATCAAGATGGCATAGAATTTTGTCTTGCAGCAAACAGAACAAGACAGAGCAAAACAAAACTTGTGAATCATGTCTGAAATGCAAAATATTTCCAGGCAACAATTTTTTGCCAAGGTACCATTTCAGAGATTATATTTTTTAAAAACTACATGATACAAAGTAATATAAAATGAAAGTATTTTTTAATACAGTCTGAAGTGATAAATTATCTTGAAAAACCTTGGAGGCTGGGGTTCTAACCTTTCAGAACCATTTTCTAGGTGCATCTGATTTTCTGCAGTTTTGTATTCCCCTTTAGATGAATAGTTTCTAACTGGGGTCCCTTGGTGAGCAGTTCTGGAATGTTCCTTGATGACAGTTGGGACTGTGGATCCTATGAGCCTCTTACTATTTTTCTCCTCTCTACAGTGCATCAGAGACCTCTGCCCCAACCAGGAATGCCTTCCATGAACTCAAATACTTACCCTTCAAGATCCGCCAAGCTAAACCCCAAGCATTCTCTCCCATCACCTCACATGCAGGGAGCATTCTTAGAAAGGTTTGTGACAATGTTGCATAGTTCTAATGTAACATTTCCTGGGTCTACACTATGCTACAGTAATGCCTGGTTTGTTGAGGAAGAAAGATATGAGTCAGTAGGTAGAAAGGTAAGAATGTTTGGAGTCCTGATGTGGTGCTATAGGATAAGCACTGAACTGCTATGCACAAGGTCGACAGTTCAAACCCACCAGTTGTTCCTTGGAAACCCTATACAGGGTCTCCCTGAGTCAGAACCAGCTTGACAACACTTAACAACAACAAAAAGAAGCAAGCTGAGCATTAAGAACATGTGTTAATCCAGTACTGTCTCCAAATCTCTATGTTGGAGTTGGGGATACACAGAGTTGACTGACTGCCCCGTGATTACCTCAGTCAGAATGAACCATTTTGAAAGAAAGGGAAATGGTTTCACCTAATGAGACAAACAAACCAAACAGATGACCCTTAAAAAGCTTCATGAAAAAAAAATAGATTTCATTCTGCATCCTGGGCTAGAAGACAAAAAATATGCCTAGACCAAAGCCAGACCCAAAACCATTATTGTTTGGTTGATTCTGACTCATGGGGAACTCCTATATTACAGAGTAGAACTGCTCATGCAGACTCATAGTGACCCTGTCTCAGGCTTCTGAGGCTGTAAATCTTTAAAGGGAGCAGAAAGCCTCATCGTTCTCCTGTGGAGCGGCTGGTAGATTCGAACTGCTGACCTTGTGGTTAGCAGCCCAACTCCTAATCCATTTATACTCTTATGTGAGAGTATAGAGGACTGTAATGTGAGATGGCTTATCCAAAAGGACAAAAAATAAAATTACATAAGAAAAAAACAAAAAGCAAATGATTACAGCCTTGGAAACCTATGGGGCAGTTTGACTCTGCCTTATGGTTGCTATGAGTCAGAATTGATTTTATAGCAGTGGGTTTGATTTACTAACCAAAAAATTGATGGTTCAAACCCACCTCTGGCTCTGTGAGAGAAAGACCTAGAGCCCTGCTTTCATAAAGATTATAGCCAAGAGAACTCTATGCGTCAGTTCTACTTTGTCACTTGGGGTCACTGTGAGTCAGAGTCCACTCAGGGGCACCTAACAACAATAGCCCATGCCCGTCCTCCTCCCCACGGATTCCTTGTTCACAGACAGCATGTTTATCCATGTGTCTACCAACTGTAGAGAAGTGCTCACTTCAGAGGGCTTTTATCATTCTCCAGACTCAAAACCCTCAAACTGTAGCCAGCTTTAAAAAAAAAAAAAAACTCTGAAAACAAAACAACAAAAAAAACACATGTCTTTGTGTGTGTGTGTGTGTGTGTGTGGGCAGAGGGGGGTTGTGGAGCAGCTTATGAAGTTTCTGAGACTTTGAAAGTGTCCATCTTGGGAGTCCTGGAGTGACGCTGTGGGTTAATGCACTGGACTACAAAGTCAATTTGAACCACAAGGTCAGCAGTTCAAGCTCACCAACCACTCCTAGGAAACCCTATACAGGGTCCCTATGGGTCAGAACCGACTCAAGGGCACTTAACAACAACAATATGTTGGGTCAGTAGTGAAAATTGTGTTATGTATGATAAATTCATGTCCTTGCCCAGCTCCCATAGTTTCAAAGAAAGAAATGGGAAAAACCCAGCCTCCCCCAGGTGGCCCCTTCACCCCACACCAACTTAAAATCTGCCCTTGTTCTGTTTCCACAGCAGCAGCCCTTTTCCGCAGAGCGCCTCCCTGCCACCGTATTTCTCTCAAGGTTTGTACTGTAGTTACCTACTCGGCCCAACTTGCCTTCCTGACTGGATTTCCAACATGTCCAAATGCCTTTGACAAAGGTTTTGTTGTTTTCCCAAAGCATGTGACTTCCTCACTTCATACCTAATTCAGTGCCTGCAGTGTGCTGGTGACTGTTGGAATGATGGAAATGATATAAAACACCACATACAGATACACAGACGTGACCAGCAATCTACCCAGAGAAAACTTTTCTCCCATTTGATTGCCTAGCTCAGGATAATGCTTGCTTTTCCCTGTGATTTTAGGTTTCCATTATATATGTGCTCTGGAGTTGTAAATTGGGGAACACAGTGTCCAAAATTTAACCTGCAAAGTAATCCCTCAAGGAGTTTGTTTCAAATACAGATAAGAGAAACCAACCCCCCAAAAAGCCTGATTCAGTAATTGTGGATGTGGCACAGAGAACTGTATTTTGAATATACACCTCCTCTGGGTGTCCATGATAAACACTCTTAGAGCAGCACTGTCAAGCTTTTTATATAGAGACGACCTCGGGATTATATTCAACGCAGAGTCTAATATGATAAGGTATGAGGTGAGACCTGAGGAATTGTATTTCTAACAAGTCCATGAAAAACCTGTACATAGACCAAGAGGCAGTCATTTGAACAGAATAAAGAGATACTGAATGGTTTAAACCCAGCAAAAGTGTGTTCTGGAATTGTGTCCTTTCACCATATTTATGCAGTCTGTATTATGTGATGCTGGATTATATGAAGAAAAACTTGGCATCAAAATTGGAAGAAGATTCATTGAGAACCTGAATATGTAGATGACATAACCTTGCTTGTTGGAATCGAAGAGGACTTGAAACACTTACTGATGAAGATCAAAGGTTACAGCTTTCCATCTGGATGGCACCTCAATATAAAGAAAACAAAAATCTGGACCAATAAACAACATTATGATAAATGGAGAAAAGATTGACTTTGTCAAAGACTTCATTTTACTTGGATCAACAATTCATGCTCATGGAAGCAGTAGTCATGAAATCAAATGACATATTGCATTCAGAAAATCTTTAAAGTGTTAAAGACCAAACATGTTAGTTTAAGAACTAAGGTGCGCCTGACTCAAGCCATGGTATTTTCTTATGTATGTGATAGTTGGACAATGAATAAGGAAGATCATAGAAAAATCAATGCAGTTTAATTACGCTGTTGGCAAAGAATATTGAAAATACCATGGACTGCTAGAAAAACAAACAAGTCTATCTTGGAAGAAGTGTAGCCAGAACGCTCCTTTGAGTTGAGAATGCAATTAAGAGGAGTCTCTCATTCTTTGGACATGTTAGAATGAATCAGTCCTAAAGAAGGACATCATGCTTGGTAAAGTGTAGGATCAGTGAAGAAGAAGACCTGCCAATAAAACAGATTGATACAGTGGTTGAGTTTTCAGAAGTTGATTGCTAGACACTTCTCCCAAGTTACCTCTGGGTGGACATGAACTGCCCACCTTTCTATGAGCAGTGAGCATATATCTAGTATTTTAATTATAGCTCAAGGTCAAGATTTTTGGGGATTGCACTCAGTTAGCTACGTCCTGCAATATATGTGTGAGATCCTACTGCTGACACCAGTGACATCCAGAAGTTGTCAGTGCTTCCTAAGCATTTGAGATGATAGTGTCTGTATTCCCCATATGGTTTCTATAATCCCCACATCCTCATAGGTCCTCACAACTCCCTGTGTTTTGTGAACCCACATTTATGCTACCTGCCTGACCCCAACAGATGTCAGAGTTCCGGATACCTTCCTTAAAGGAATATTTCCCAAATCAAGGTCTACAGATTCCTGGATTGATAGGCTGATAATGGATACTGTAAATATAAATAATTAGTTATTATTTGAAATGCTCTCGTCTGTCAGTTTGTCATACTGTGGTGGCTTGTGAGTTGCTGTGATTCTGGAAGCTAAGCCATGGGTATTTTAAATACCAGCAGGGTCACCCATGTTCGACAGGTTTCAGATGAGCTTCCAGACGAAGACAGGCTAGGAAGAAGGAGTGACGAACTACTTCCAAATATTTAGTCACTGAAAATCTTATGAATAACAGAGAAACACTGTCAGATATAGTGCCAGAAAATGAGCCCCTCTGGTTGGAAGGCACTCAAAATGCGACCGGAGAAGAGCTGCCTCCTCAAAGCAGAGATGACTGTGATGATGCGAGTGGAGTAAAGCCCATGGGAGAAAAGCCTGTGGGACCTTCATTTGCTGATGGAGCATAACTCAAAATAAAGAGAAACAGCTGTAAACATCCATTTGTAATCAGAGCATGGAATGTATGAAGTATGAATCTAGGAAAATTGAAAATTGTCAAAAATGAAATGGAACGCATAAACATCAGTATCTTAGGCATTAGTGAGCTGAAATGGACTGGTATTGGTCATTTTGAACCTGACTACCACATGGTTTACTATGCCAGGAATGACAAATTGAAGAGGAATGGTGTTGCATTCATTGTCAAAAAGAACATATCCAGATCAGTCATGAGGTACAACACTGTCTGTGTGATAGGATAATATCCTTGTTCCTACAGGGAAGACCAGTTAATATCACTATTGTTCAAATTTATGCAAGAACCACTAAAGTCAGTGAGGATGAAATGAAGAATTCTACCAAATTCTTCAATCTGAAATTGATCAAACATGCGTTCAAGATGTATTGATCGTCACTGGTGATGGGAAAATCTCACTGATTGATGGTGGTGTTGAATAGATGATTACTGTGATCACTATCAGTAAGTTGTACACTTTTAAAAAAAGTTGAACTGGTGAAAGTTTATTTATTTACAACAGAGACAAAAACAAGAGTAGCTGCTGAGGCTTCCTATGTCCAATCTCATGGGATCTGGTTCCTTGGTTTAGAGGTTTAGGGTCATGATTTCATGGGACATCCTAGTTAATTGCCCTGCTACTGTGTTTAGTATTTCTATTTTACCTCCTAGTTCATAGCATAATGCCTGACATCTTAGAAGTTTGAAAGAGGCCGTTGAAGGCCCCAAAACTGATCTCTGTTCACTAGTGCAACAGTGAAAATAGAAGGAAAGTCAGAATTAGGAGAAGGATGTGGGAAGTGCAGCTCATTGGTTCCATTAACATAATTGTGTCCTTTGCCAGCAGAGAAGCTGGATGGTGCTTGAATACCATTACTGAATATTTTGATCAAAGATTCTGTAGAAGAATCTTGATCAAAAGGGGAAAATTACAGAACAAAATTTCAGATTCTCATGAAATCCATACATCCAGGAGCCATGGAGTTTGGATGAACTCTAAGACTCCTGTCTTCAGATTATCTTTAAACTTTAAGCCAAAATATCCCCTGTTGTCGTTAGGTGCCATTGAGTCGGTACTGACTCATAGCGACCTTATGCACAGCAGAATGAAACACTGCCCAATCCTGGGCCAACCTCATTCTCATTGCCATGCTTGAGCTCATTGATGCTGCCTGAAGTCTTCTTAAAACCCAAACAATAGTTTAGCGTAACTCGTAAAGAATGTCTGTCTTGAACATTGAGCTCTTCTAAAAACTGATCACTCTGACAACAGCAAATCAAAATTAAATAGAACACTTAGAGGACAGTGAGTTTATTATGTTCATGGTATGGGGAACAGCTCAAAAGAGGAGGGTAAGAATAGTTGCACAACTCAAAGAATGATATCAACATCACTGAACTGTATATGCAGACACAGTTGAATTGGTGCATGTTTTGCTGTGCGCATTCTCAGCCACAACAAATAAAAACGAGAATGGAAAAAATGAATTATGTGTGCTTGAATGACTGCTTGTCTGTGATGAATCATGACTTTACAGTGCTGACATGAAGGTGAAGAATCCAGAAGTGAATAGTTCCTCATTTCTGAAACAGTCATGTGTTGCTGGTCTTGTTTTGATTGCTCACCAATATTGTAGATTTCATTCATTCAATGAGCATTATCAGAGACTCTACCATGGACTGCAAAGAGAAGGTCTATTTAGACATTGGGGACCTAAAGAAAGACGGTACTAACAGGTTAGGGTTAGCTTTATATGATGATTTAGAAACAGGTCAAGGCCATCTGAAGTAATCCTGGTGCCATGGAAAGTCCAGCCCTTCCTAAGTAAATCTCCTCTCCTCAGTGGCGTATTGGCATATGTACATGTACCAACAGTCCTGGTACAGACCATCTGGGGGGCTGATAATATGCAGACTCCTGGGCCTCAGGAGATTCCAAGTCCAATGATGATTCTAATTGATGTTTGGGAACCATAGGTCCAGTCTTGGCCCTGCCACTGGTGGTTATGTGCTGTGGAGTCGGTTCCTACTCATAGGGATCCTGTACAGGGTTTCCGAGGCTGTAAATCTTTATGGGAACAGAAAGCCTCATCTTTCTCCCATGGAACATCTGGTAGTTTCGAACTGCTTACCTTGCAGTTCACAGCCCGATTCATAACCACTACGCTACCAGAGCTCTAGTAGCACATAATTTGTTCTGTCTCATCGCACCGCTGTTTCCTTGTATGCAAAATGAAGATAATCCTCCCCTTGTAGTGTTGCTGTAAGGATTAAACATATGGCATATGAAGCACTGTACTCAAGACCTAGGCATAGTAGTTCAGAATAAATATTTGTTGAATGAAGGAAGCAATGATGGATGAGTGACTAAGGAGACATTCCTCTAATAACATGTTTCCAGTTTTAGCAGTTATTCTGGCATATAGGAAACCATGTTGGCAATTACAGTAAGCAATATCAAACCTTTCCTTGGATTAGAAAACACATGCTTACAAGTTTCAGGGAATTTTAGAGAAGTGAAGCACAGGTTTAGGTAACTGATAGGTACACTTGGAAGATTCCTTGAGTGATCAGATAACCCTTGTGAAGTTAACAGTGCGACGCTTTGGAAAATTCCATGGTAACAAACTTTGGTTCTAAAAAGTAAGTGTAATCTCAAGGTAGTTTCACCTTGTCTTGGGTAAAGTACATCTCTTATAAAAACAATGAGGAAGTAATGATTTCTTTCTACTATGCTGTTACTACAATAGTTGTAGGGAATCCCTTCTGGGTGTCATGAGTATTACAGGAATGTATAAAAGATCAGTCTTGGATTATATTCTGATGTTCACATGAATATGTCTCTGGCTCTCCTATAAATGCCTGTAGTCACTTTATATCATGTAATATGCACATTTATACTGTTACTAGAATTGGAGTTACTGCTCTCAGAACTTGTGATTTTTAACAGGTAACACTTATTTTTGAAGTACAAGTTTCTTGAAATGATCATTGCAAGAACAATTGCAAGGAACTTTGCCAGAGGAAGGGGATTGTGAGTAATGTAACAAAATAGCTTACAATAAATTAATTTTCACAATTTTCTACTTTTTAAGGCCTTAGCACCAGACCACCTCCCAGGATTCCAGCTGAAGGCAGGACTTTTCCTTTGCCAGTTCCAAACAAACCCCAGCCACCATCCCCTGGGGAAGAAGAGGTAAAAGAGCATATATTTTTATTTTCATTTTTCCTCAGCAAATTATCAGAAACTCCCACTGAATACCCTTTTGTATTTTTACCTTCTAGTGGTCTTAATATTTTCTAAAGAAAAAAAAAAAAAATCAAGGGGAAGGTCCAGATGAAAAATAATGACAAATGTGTGTTTTGCATTAAATAATCAGAAACAGAGTTCCTTCTTTCTATTCATGCAGGATGTCATGAATAAAAGCAGTTCACACAAAAGAACTCATTGAGCCTCACCTGAATGAGTCTATTGAGTTCCTGGTGGTGCAAAAATGTACATGCTTGGCTGCTGACAAAGATTGGAGGTTTGAGTCCATCCAAAGGCAAAGATTAGAGGTTTGAGTCCATCCAAAGGCACTTCAGAAGAGAGATTTGGTGATCTTCTTCTGAAAAACCATCCACTAAAATCCCTACAAAGCCCAATTCTACGCTGACACATATAGGGTTGCCATATATCAAAATGAACATCATGGCAACTGTTTTTAACTGATTCTATATTCAAACTAAGAAAACAAACATTTCAGACTTCATGGAATCGAGGTGGTGATTTATGCAAATTATCACTTGGAGGTTTTTCTTTTCAGTTATATGTGAAAGTTTTTTCTTTTCAGTTATATATGAAACTACAAAATTCATTCCATTTTTAAAAACTTTTATTTTCAGAATTCCTTAAATGAAGACTGGTATGTTTCTTATATTACCCGACCAGAGGCAGAAGCTGCTCTTCGAAAGATAAACCAGGTATTTTATACTGAAGTTTATTGTTAAGTAGTTACAAGTATTAATGGAGGGAGAGGAAGGGAAATTTTATTAAAGTACAAATTATGGGTGAGGGATTCTGTTAGGTGCTGCTCATATTGTTGTGCCTATGGGACTCATTAGTGCCAGCCTTACACCTTTCAGTCCCAATAGAAATGAATCCTAGGACCCTGAGAAAAACCTAAATTAAGGCAGAGTCATTTGGCTGGCATTATCTTGGATTTTATTACCAAAGAGTATCCGTGTTGTCAAAGTAACTATTCCTCGCCAATAGTAGACTGTCTTTCCTTCCAAATTTCTGTTATCCTAACAGGTTCATCTGCTCCTTAACACACCCTTGCCACTCATATACATGTGAAGGATCCATACAGAGACACATCAGCAAACTTAGCACCTTTCCCTGGACATTTCTAGCGTTTCCTTCAGCATTATGAGGTCTGAATCAGATTTCCTGTTGCCCTATGCTGCACCCTATTCTTTAATCTCTTTATCAGAGAGAGGAAAGAAGAGATCTTCATCTTTTGCTCCAAGACCACAATGCGGCGCTGTAACTGTACCTGATGTTTATAGCAGTAGTACTCAATCTTGGCTGCACATTTAGATCACCTGAGTGATACCTGCTCTCACCCAGAGAGATCCTGATTGAATTAGTTGAAGGTGCTGCTGTGTAAGCTTAAGGAATCTTCTAACTCCCCAAGGTTGAGAATCACTATTCCAGAATTTGCTTAACATAGATTTTCAAACTGGCTCAATTAACTGGGATAAAAACAAAGAGGAAGTCATTATTGTAGATGGATGACTATTTAAAACCATCCTGATTCAGTACAAGGAGGGGGTTGTTGCTTAAAGAGTTTTTATTAATTCATTCTATTTCAATGTTAGGTCCTTACAGTGGTAATAAATTATGTAGTAATAATTTTATGGCAAATTTTTAAAGTACAGGACAAATCACAACTCGTTTAGTAACTGCTAAGGAAAAAGGTGGGAAGAATAGAGATAATTCACATTCCATTTTGTTCAAGTGTGTGACAGGTGACATGCTTTAATCTAGAGATCATGATACTATATATCACATTATATTTTTTAAGGGGGTACATTTCATAGGCATTTGGCTGTCTTCTAATCTGGAATGTGAAAAGAAAGGGCTAAGGAACTAGCTCATAGGAATAGGAAGACACAACTTTAGTTAACCAATAAAATCCTTATTTCTCCTGACCCTTTATTCCTTGTTGTTGTTTTGTTGTTGAAGTGTCATTGAGTCGGTTATCCCTAGAACCTCCTTATTGTTTCATTACTGAAAAAGAGATTCCTTTTACAAAATACTTCTAATAGGTTAGCTTGAAAATTCACCAATAAGATCCCTGCTGCCTCTGCCTTCACAACCAAAGAATTCCATAACACTTGGAATCTGTAGCTTTTTTGGGAATTGAGTGTTCACTGATTTGTTAGCTGCTAGATTTTGCAGAGCCCTAGAGACTTGTCAAAGCCTCTTAAAGGTAACAAAAGTATTGACTTTTACTGCTCTCATAATAACAAGAGTTTCTCTTTTTAGGATGGCACTTTTCTGGTTAGAGACAGCTCTAAAAAAACTACTTCCAATCCATACGTCCTCATGGTATTGTACAAAGATAAAGTTTACAACATTCAGATCCGTTATCAAGAGGAAAGTCAAGTTTACTTGCTGGGAACTGGACTCCGAGGGAAAGAGGTAACAATTTCTTCTACTTTCAAATCTTCTCTAAATCCTCTTTCTATGCCTCTCCTCACACCACTACATGGATCCCCTCTGTAACCGTCTTTGGAAATCCATAATGTATGGCAATTTTAGGGTTTAATCACATTATTGAAACCTGTTATTTACTGGAAGGAAATAAAGCCAGTATATAATAACAGTAGCTATCTCTGCTAGAAGTTTTCATATCTTTCTTCCTAAAATCACACGTACAACTTTTAAATATGAAAAAATGGGTTAATATTGTTAATTTTTAAAAAAAATTTGTTAGAAGGTGTCAAAAGCAAGTTCCTTCTATGAGTATCATTCACTATGTGACTCATACTTATTGTTAAGATTACAGTGGACAAAGGAAAACAAAACTATAATACTTAATTGCTTGGATATTTCTTACTGAAAACAGATTTTGGCAGCTCTGTGAAGATTGTCAAAATGCCAAAGACATTTCCTTTGATGCCACCAATGTTTAGATGGCCATGCCTGTCCTCTGAGTGGTAATCAGAACTGAAAAAATTCCTTAGGACTGCGTTGTGCAAAGGAAACTAACAGCTAAATGTAATGCCCCAAACATATACCCTTTTAGTTCCAAAAGACAAACTAGCTGAATCTAACATTTCCAGAGTGAGAAACAACTCATTTATAATTTCCACTTCACTCCAAATATTTTTAATTTAGAATAATGTTCATAAGTAGAAAAAAACTGTGTGATTTTGGTCAAATGTTTAACTCACTGTTGTGGTATGGATAGAACTGTGTAGTTCCTATAAAAGCAGCGGTGTCTGCCCTCCAAGGGCCTATTGTGGAAGGACCCAAGTACAGATCACTTATTACAGCTCTCCTGGAAGGAGGCACCTAGGAGAGTCAAGCCATGGAGGAGGCAGAGAATGCTGTCTGCACAGCTAGCTGACCTCTGATCCATGTCTAGAGGATGAAGGGGATTTCCCAGTCTGGTCATCAGGGATGAGGTGACCTGGGAAATGGACATGGAGACAGGGCTTCAGAGCCCTGGGGGTATGGGGCAGCAATGGGAATGCAGGTAAGTGATCATGAGGAACACTGGGAATGCTGTGACTTCCTGATCCTTTAATACCTCACAACACTCTTAATGACTGAGGGTGAAGTGAGGGTACAGAAATTAAAACCACAAATAAGAGGAACCCAAGGTAAGGGTCATGAATCGAATATTTAGGGTAGATGAACTCCTGTATAAAGTTCAAGGAGCCCTGGTGGTTAAGTGGATGCCTGCTAATTGAAAAGATGGCTGTTTGAACCCACAGGAGAAAAATGTGGCAATCTGCTTCTGTACAGATGTATAGTGCTGGGAATCCTATGCGCAGTTCCACTCTGTCCTCTATGGCTTGCTGTGATGAGTCAGAATCAATTTGAGGGCAATGAGTATAGGAAGATATATATAGATATATAGATATAACTGAACAGAAAATTTCAAAGATCAGCTCGAGAAGATAAAACCAGGTACTATAATAAAATATGCAAAGATTTGGAACTAGAAAACCAAAAGGGAAGAATACACTCAGCATTTCTCAAGCTGGGGGAACTGAAGAAAAAATTCAAGCCTCGACTTTCCTTATTGAAAGATTCTCTGGGAAAATTATTGAATGATGCAGAATGCATAAAGAGAAGATGGAAGGAATACACAGAATCATTGTACCAAAAGGAAATGATTAATGTTCAACCATTTTAAGAGATACCATATGAACAAGAGCCAATGATACTCAGGGAGGAAGTCCAAAGTGCATTGAAAGAAGTGGCAAAGAACAAGGCACCAGGAATTAATGGAATAAAAATTGAAATATTTCAATAAAGTGAGGCAGCACAAGAGGCACTCACTCATCTCTGCCAAGAAATTTGGAAGACAATTATCTGGCCGACTGATTGGAGAGATCCTTGTTTGTGCCTGTTCCAAAGAGAGGTGACCCAACGGAATGCAGAAATCATCAATCTCTTTGATATCTCAAGTGAGTAGAGTTTTGCTAAAGGTAATACAGAAACGGCTACAATCATACATTGACAGAAAACTTCCAGAGGTTCAAGCTGGATTCAGAAGAAGGTGAGATATCATTGCTGATGTCCGGTGGATCTTGGCTGAAAGCAGAGAATATCAGAAAGATGTTTACCTATGCTTTATTGACTACCCAAAGGCTTTTGATTGTGTGGATCATGACAAACTATGGACAACATTGAGAAGTATGAGTATTCCAGAACACTTAATTGTACTTCTGAGGAATCTGTACCTGGACCAAGAAGCAGTTATTCGAACAGAGCATGAGAACACTGAATGTTTTAAAATTGGGAAAGGTGTGCGACAAGTTTGTGTTCTTTCACCATACTTATTCAACCTGTATGCTGAGCAAATAATACGAGAAGGCTGGCTTCTATGAAGAAAAACGTGGCATCAGGATTGAAGGAAGACTCATTAACAACCTGTGATATGCAGATGATACAACCTCGCTTGCTGAAAATGAAGAGGACTTAAAACATTTACTGATTAAGATCAAAGAGCACAGCCTTCGGTATGGGTTGCATCTCAATGTTAGGAAAACAAAAATCCTCACCACTGGACCAATAAACAACATTCTTATCAACAGAGAAAAGATTGAAGTTGTCAAGGACTTCATTCTTCTTGGATCAACTGTCAACACTCGTGGAAGCAGCAGGCAAGAGATCAGACGATGTATTGCATTGGGAAAATCTGTTGCACAGGAACTTTTTAAAGTGTTGAAGAGCAGAGATGTCAGCTTGAGGACTGAGGTGCACCTGACCCAAGCCATGGTATTTCCAATAACCTCATATGGATGCGAAAGCTGGACAGTGAGTAAGGAAGATCGTAAAAGAATTGATACCTTTGAGTTGTGGTGTTGGAGAAGAATACTAAAAGTGCCATGGACTGCCAAAAGAACCAATAGATCTGTTTTGGAAGAAGTGCAGCCAGAATGCTACTTGGAGGCTAGGATGGCTAAGCTTCCTCTCTCATACTTTGGACATATTGTCAGGAGGGAACAGTCGCTGGAGAAGTATATCATGCTTGGTAAGATGGAGGGTCAGAGAAAAAAAGGAAGACCCCCAACGAGATGGGTCAGCCAGGTGTCATCATTGATGGCGTCAAGTGTGGCAACGGTAGTGAGGTTGGCCCAGGATCAGACATTGTTTCGTTCTGCCGTGCATGTGGTCGCTATGAGTTGGTTCCCACTCAATGGCATCTGACAATAACAACAACAACAACACACACACAAACACACATATATATATGGAGCTCTGGGAGTGTAGTGGTTACGAATCGGGCTGTGAACCACAAGTTCAGCAGTTCGAAACTACCAGGTGCTCCGCGGGAGGAAGATGAAGCATTCTGCTCCCGTAAAGATTAACAGCCTCGGTAACCCTGTGCAGGGTCGCTATGAGTCGGAACCGACTCCACGGCACATAACAACAACATATATATATATATATATGTCACTGAGTAAAAATAATCCCCATTCTGGCTGTAGATTTTACTTTACTCAATTTTCAGAAAAGACAAATACATAATTTTTCAATACACTTTGTCCATATGTCAACAAGTTTTCATATTCCTTATTTAAAACATGTTTTAGGCTGAGCAACAAACCACAAATGCACCTCTTTCTTCACTTCTTCATCAGAGGTGAATCTTTAAGGTGAATCCTTTAAGGGCTGTTTTCAGTAGATCACACAGGTGAAAGTCCAATGAAGCAAGATCAGGACTGTAGAGAGGATGCTTTACCACCTTAAAACAAAGTTTTTGTAGAGTGTCAGCAGTGTGGGCAGAGGTATGTGAATGTGCATTGTCATGCTAGATCACAACTCCCTTGGATCGCAATCTTCTGAGTTCAATCTGAAATTTAGGTTTCAGCATTTCAGTAAACTGATCTGTAATGAACACTGTTGATTGTTGAACCTTTTTCCTGAAAGTGTTCCAATCCTGGCCATTGAGAAAACCAGAAAAGTGCAAACATCAATTTCCCAGCTGATGGTTGACTTTTGAACATACTCTTTTTGGCTTGCTGAGAGTAAACAGCAGCGTGTGGAATGGAAACATCCTCAGTCTCCAACCAAGAAAAAGTTCTATCACTTCTAATACGATCAGGAAAAAGGTTAAACAATCAACAGTGTTCATTACGGTGAGATGCTTACTGAAGAGCTGAAGTCTAAACTTTAGATTAAATGCAGAGGACTGCAATCCAAGGGCATTTTGATCTGGCATGACAAAGCATGTCCCCTCTTCCCACACTGCTGACACTTAGTAAAAACTTCATTTTGAGGTGTTAACACATCTTCACTATAGTCCTGATCTCACTGCATCAGACTTTCACCTGTTTGGTTCCCTGAAAGCAGCCCTTTGAGGACAAAGATTCACCTCTGATGAAGTGAAAACAGAGGTTCAATCATGGCTTGTAGCTCAGTCAAAAACATTTTTAAAGAAAGAAATACGGAAACTTGTTGGCAGATGGACAGATTATATTGAAAAGCAAGGAGGTTATGTCATAAAATAAGTTCTACAGACAGAGTGGGGATAATTTATGACTCACCCTTGTATATATGTTGTTAAGTACTGTTGAGTATAGGATTCACCAGGCTTTATATCTTCACAGGAGTAGTACGCCTCATCTTTCTTCCACCGAGTGACTGTTGGGCTCAAACCACAGGCCTTGTGATTTGCAGTCCAGTGATGGGGCTTCAAAAAGTTATATATGTAAAATACATATATGAAGGAGAGGGCTTCAAAAAGTTCATGAAAACATGGAATTTAAAGATTATTTTTCCATGAACTTTTTGAAGGTCCCTCATATGTTGTGTGTAGTATTTTATTCTTGATTCACTGGATATTGATTAGGATTTTTTTTTCAAAGTTCTATGGCAGAAATCATTAAAATATTTGCCAAATTTTACATCTTTTCTTTAAGCCTCATAGATTTCAAGAAGTAGTAGGAACTATGCAGATGTTTAAAAAAAAACTGAGAATGCAATTCATATTACTCATTGTATTTTATGTGTCTTTCAGGACTTTTTGTCTGTGGCAGATATTATTGACTACTTCAGGAAAATGCCACTTCTGCTCATTGATGGGAAGAACCGAGGCTCCAGATACCAGTGTACATTAAAGTATGCTGCAGGTTACCCATAGCAAGTTGATCAAGGGAATGGACCTTCTTGCCTCTATTGCCAACACAGGAATATCTGTCATCCTTAGGGAATGGACAAAGCTTGGGTCTCAATAGAACTCCTCAACATGGAACACGAGGGTTTTGTCCTTTGCTTTTGTTTTTTTGGTTTTTTTTTTTTTAATGGAAGACTGTCAGATACCCCATAATTTATTTATTATTCTTCAATGTTTGTAAAGTACATGAGTAATGATGTTCATGCTTTAAGTCTAGTAGTACACTGTAACAAGTCATTTAAACAAAACAGGTGGACTTTTGAATACCCATTTCAAAGTACTATAGTTTACACATCCTCAGACAAGTTGCACCTTTAAACACATAGGACTGTAGTAGTTTTTGCTATCACATGAAATTTGATTTTTTCAGAACACAAACCTTTATTAAGGGCAATCATCCATTTTATAATGTGTCATTTGAAAGTTACTAAAATTCACTTTTTCAGCAGTCATTTAAGAGTCTTCTAGACAATTTTATTCTTTATTTGATGATGTTGCTAGAGGGAGTTTTGTGTACTTTCTTATGAAAAGACAAATGGATGTTTGAATAACTTCCTGGTATTAAAATTAATCTTTTCGCTTTACTTTTGGTTTCCTAAAACATCTTTGGAGTCCTGGAGTGGGACTGTAAGATAAGCACTGGACCACAAGTTTGGTTTGAACCACAAGGTCGGTGATTCAAATCTATTAACTGCTCCTTGGAAATCCCAGACAGGGTCACTCTGTGTTGGAACTGACTTGACAGCACTAAACAACCACAACAAAAACATCTTTATTGACTTTTACTAGGTATTCCATAATATGTATTTTGTTTTTGAAGCAAATTTAAGCTACAAATATCACTGGAAAAATATTGTGGAGAGGAGGCACACAGACTTTGGTGTCTAATAAACCTGGGCTCAAGTTAGCACTTCATTGCATTGTCATATCCAATGTTCTACTCCATCAGAACCCTTCCAACTCCAAAAGCATTGCCAAGTGATGGGGAAGCTACCCTAGGCTTCCTGACTGAGCACATGAAGAAGCAATGCATATACACAGAAAAAATTTAGCTAATTTTCTTATTAGATACTTCATTTTCCTTTCTCTCTCCATCTCTTCTTATCCCTCTAACAATTGTCATAAAGCCTCTTCTCTTCATTCTCCCCAAAAAGGTTCTTGCAACAATAAATCATTTTAGAAAGATCAGCACAAGGCTGGTCCCTATGATTTGGAAGTTAAAGGCATCCCAAATGTAGGACTTTCTTGATATTCTATTGTTGCTGTTTTTGTAATTTATGTTAAGTGCCATCAATCATTTCTGACTCATAGTGACCCTGTATAGGGTTTCTGATGAGTGGCTGGTGAGTTTGAGCCACAAGATCTATGGTATAAATTGACCTTGTGGTCCAGTGCATTATCCTACAGAGCCACATCAGAACTCCTGAAGTGCTATACCCCTCCATAATTCCTGAAATCAACCACTACCCCACCCCTCAGCATTCTCTACAATGTCCCAGAGTTCCACAATTCACAGCAATGGCCCACAGAACTCACACGCTGTTAAGGTAATGGCCCACATAGTTGTGGAAGCTAGTGAATCCCAAATCTGCAGTTCAGACATCAATCTGGAGGATTCTCCTGACTCACAGAGAAGTGGGATATTGACTCCCAAGGCTGTGGAACCTGACAAGGCAGGCCAGGCTGCTGGCTCCAATCCCAAGAACTGGAGGTCAGATGCTTAATCAAACAAATGAGCACACAGCTCATTCATAGCACTGAGATGGTTTCATGTTATATCCCTGCTGGAGTTCCAAGTTTTTACAATCATCATTAACTCTGTTAACACCCACAGCTGAATCATGTCTTCCTATCAATATCTTCTCTCATCCAGCCCCATCAGGAAAAGAGTCTCATTTGGTGGGAGTTACAGAGACTGAAAGGAGCTCTGGTAATATAGTGGTTACGAATTGGGCTGTGAACCTCAAGGTCAGCAGTTCGAAACTACCAGCTGTTCCGCGGGAGAAAGATGAGGCTTTCTGCTCCCATAAAGATTTATAGCCTCAGAAACCCTGTACAGGGTCGCTATGAGTTAAAACCAACTCCATGGCACACAACCACCACCACCACAGAGAATAAGGCTAGGAGAGACTTACTAAATTTTTCACTACACCAAAGGCTACTCTTGACTCTTCTAGCCATTGTCCCTTTCAAACTTTCAGGATTAACTTCCTTCCCAATCCAAAACATTAATTAACAATCAGTCCTTCAGTATGGTACAGATGTAAAGGATGAGGTTACCAGCCATTTGGATCTTCTGTAGATATTCATCTGATCTGGTCAGGTTCATGAGAAGTTTGTTTCACCATCACCCTGTCTAGTGCCTGACAACATGTAAACAGATTAATCCCTTGCTCTGAATCTCTCCTGAGGTATCAGCAATATGTTAGATTTTCCCTGCTGCATAACCCATTTATTCAGCCCTTTACCTTCAGCTATCATTTCTCCTTTCTTCCATTTGTCACTTATTTTTACCCAAACTTCCACCTTGCGAGGGACATCAGATTCTGCTGCTGTGTCTGTCTAGATTATGGGTGCAAGACCCATCTAGCAAATGTTTCCTCCTCAGTCTATTCCCATTCATGTTGGGTAGGATTACATTAAGTATAAAACTAGTGGGTTATCTCAACCATTAGGCAATACGGTACTATGCACTGTCAACCTCAATTTTGCCATATTGAGGGAAGGTAGAAATAATTGATCACATCAGGTCCTTGAGAATTCTGGCATACAGATTCACAGGGATAGTTACACTAGCTGGCTGAGGGATCACCTCTGCTTCTGGTACTCACAGCTACATCCTTTGCCCTAGGACTTCAGCCTCTAGTAGAAAACAAAACAAAACAAAAACTTCAGGTGATGTGGGGAAGAACTGTACAGTTTTACCACCATCCTCCCCCACCATCTCTTCCCCAGTTCTCCCCAAAATACATACAAATATATCTAGTGGTGATCCTCCCTTTGCATCCCTCATGTTAAGAGTGAATACACACTCCTGAAGGCAGGTAAAAGCCGTTTTAATTGTCCATTCTAATTTTATATCAAACCATTACTCTCAGGGTGGTATGCAATATAGTGTGTCCATTTAATATAATGTTACTTGGCTCACTGCAATACTGTGTTGGTTATAAAGTATATTCCTTGGTTTGAGGAAATATAGCTTGGTGGCCCAAATTGGTAATAGCATGTTGAGTGATCATGGGATATGAAAACTTCAGTCCAGTCCAGAATAAGTCTCTATTCCTGTGAGGACCCATTTGTAGCCACCTGGTGCTACTGGTGACATTGGTCTGATATAACCCACTTGACAACTTTGTGCAAGACCTTCTCCCTAGGAAATTTGTCCCATAGCCAAATGCAGACTTTGTCTTCCTTGTTAACAAACAGAGCAATCCTTGTTATCATTTTGTACCTCAGAGGATGCAAGAGGGATGTGTCTATATTCATCCCATTTCTCCATTGCTGAAGCACTCCCATGCTTGCTCCTGTACTGGACCTAATTGGCCACATCTAGGGAGTGTACCAGTAAGTCTTCTTGCTAATTCAAATCACCTTCTGATCCAGGAAGGGGGTTCTTCTGATAGGTATCAACATGTCCTAATCTGATGTATCCTTTGGATCCCAAGCGTGCTTTCCATAGGTCCTTGTCCCATATAGATGTCTCTTTAACAGTCCACTTTTCTACTGCCCATTTACCTGGGTACATAACCAGGCCATTGGGCACTGCCCATGAATCAGTAAAAATCCAAACATATGGGCTCAACTGCAAGGTTGGTTTGAACCACAAGGTTGACTGACAGTGTTCCACTGCTATTCATAAGGTTTTCAGTGATTAAATATTCAGTAGTAGCCCATCTCTCCTTCTTCCTAGTCTGCTTTTTCCTGGAAGCTCAGATGAAGCCTGTTCACCGTGGGTGACCCTGCTGGTATTGGAAACACCCGTGGCATAGCTTCCAGCATCACAACAACACACAAGCCACCACAGCACAACAAACTGACAGGCAAGTCGTGGTGATGCAGAATTGTTGTTGTCAGGTGCCATTGAGTTGGGACCGACTCATAGCAACCCCATGCACAGCAGAATGAAACAATGTCCAAGCCTGGGCCAACCCCACCACCGCTGCCACACTTGATGCCATCAATGATACCACCTGGCTGATCCATCTCGTTGGGGGTCTTCCTCTTTTTCTCTGACCCTCCATCTTACCCAGCATGACATCCGTCTCCAGCGACTGTTCCCTCCTGACAATATGTCCAAAGTATGAGAGACGAAGCTTAGCCATCCTGGCCTCCAAGGAGCACTCTGGCTGCACTTCTTCCAAAATAGATCTATTGGTTCTTTTCGAAGTCCATGGCACTTTTAGTATTCTCCTCCAACACCACAACTCAAAGGCACCAATTCTTCTATGGTCTTCCTTATTCACTGTCCAGCTTTCACATCCATAGGCACTAACTAAATGCTGGTTGGATAAACATGTGAATGAAAATGGACATTTGCAACTTCAGAACTACCAAGTTCTGGACCTAAGCTGAGAATTTCCATTTTGTAGGATGAGGTTTGGTGAAATACCATTTTTATCATCACTGGGTAAAAGTCTCCACTGACTCATTTCTTTGGAACTCATCAATTTGAAACAGATGACATTTAAAATACCTTTCAATATTCTTTTGAATATTGTTCATGGTCATGAAGATGCAAAATATTTTTTAACATTTAGAAAACTTATAAATTAAGCAGAGAAACAAACAAACAAAAAATTTGTTGTTAATATGTGGAATAATAACAAAGGTCTCCAAGGGAAAAACTTGATCTGTTGTCATTATTTTACTGAATACCAGCTTTTTGCTTTGATAAACGCCTACTTCTACTGCTATATGTCATCAAGTTGATTTTGTCTCATATAGATCCTGAATAGAGTTTCCCAAACTGTGTCTTTCTCCCATGGAGCAGCTAGTGAATTCAAACTGCTCACCTGGTGGTTGATAGCCTAACATGTAACACATTCCACTACCAAGACTCTTTCGCTAAATGCCTACTACTTTTTTTGTGGAGATATGTAAAC